TTTCCTTATTACTGCTGGTTTCTAAAGAAATCATTCAATGACTTTTAGCTGGAACTCCTAATTGTAGTTTTGCATTAGAAACTACTTTGAAAAACTTTAGTATGTCTCAAGTGATGTCCTTTCTGCTTCTAATTAGAGAAGAGTTTTAAAAGAGGCTTGCTCAACATAATCATTATTCATCCTAGCAGTAGGTAGATCGACTGGGTGCAATGTGTCAGAGGGTTCATAATCAGAGAATCTGATTTCACATCTCCTTAGCCTTACAGAGCACTTTAGTTATTTTCATTTCATTTGTATGAGTGACTTTATTTCAGATAATCCAGTAAAATAAAATGTTAATTCATACAAGCATGATGTATTTTTAATAATATATAATTACATGTATAATTCATGAATATGTCTGAAAAAGGGTTAGATAAAGTGAATCTTATTTATTCATATCCCTTCTCCTTCCTATATTCCATAACACTAACAATTTCCCTACTTTACATAAAAGTCCAAACTAGGGCTGGCCACTTAAATGCATTTGCAATATAATCCTAATTTAGCAAAATGCAATTTTCAACTCACAGACGTGCTCAATTTCAGTAACATTATACCATATACCAAGAGTAAGAGACTGAATTTCTCCTTGCAGCCTTTGAGGGAAGTGGTAACATGCTTATAGTGAATTTGTCGCCTCCCAGAAAGGAAGAGAAAGTCTCAGCTAGCACGCAGATCAATGCATGATTGTAGATATAAGAACTTTTTCACTAAAGGGTCACAGTGAGTCTTGGACTCTGGACAAGCAAGCTTTTAAGGTCATGAGAAAGTGAAACCCTCAACCCTCATCTTAATGCTTGTGATGGGCAAAGGACAATCTCAATAAAATCACAATAATTGCAATTTAGATTTTTGGCAACATTGTTCACCCTAGTTCATACTACTTAGAAGTGCATTAAGTAAGAAAATAAATACATTTCTGTATATAAAACATTTGTATAGACATTCACATGTGCCTACACACATCTTTACTCATACAAATATTACCCAAAGCCCAAATTACCAGAAACATTGCAAAATATGTATACACCTATGTACCTGACTGAGGGGCTGGTTATACTCACACACCAGTGTGTCGCAGTGAACTTGTCACAGATATTTTTGATTTATGCCCATTATTGAAGCGTGGTCTGTGCTATGTTATTCCACGCCACAATGCAAGAGGGACAATCCCGATATAGCTGTGGGTCTAGATACAGCCGAGGCAGTGAGGAATTGGAAAAACGCAAGGGGCAAGTTTGTAGCCTGGGTGCCATTCCGAACTTAGTCCCGCCCACAACGTTTGAGGTCGGGAAGTTCGGTCTG